AATTTCTTCTGCCCAACTATTACACTCCATGCATTAACATGTTGCTTGCTGCCTGACAACTGCAGCAACCAGCTTACGAGTTTTAATAGCTTGATTTCTGCTTTAGAGAGACACAAAGTACTGGCAAATAAGGAAAGAAAAATGTCCTGACTCCCCTAAGGCAGAACATGCCAGGTTCATAGGCTACACAGGGCATCAATACAACATGCAGGGATCTCAGCAAAGCAGCACCTGTGGCACCTGGATGAGAGCTTCCCATAGGAGCTTTAGCTGGAGTACTTTGCCATGACTGCTAGTTACAGTGTCTCTGCAGAAGGCTGTAGAGGATGAGGCACTGCAGGCAAAGCCCCACTGAAAGTTTAGAGGCTTTGTAAGCCATTATGAAACATGTAGAGTGCCAGGGAAGTTTATTAAGCAGAAGAATAAGGTTTTGCTTTTGGCTTATGAGTCAATTTTTGCCATATAGAGGTGGTTACTTAAAGCCTGTATAATCTAAGCTGGAGGGGATGGAGGTTTACCAGTACCTAGTCAGGCAAACTCCCATCCCTGAAGGCTTTACAGTCTGATCCAGACAGGAACAAACAATTATGGACTTGGTTTCAAAGCAGGAAGTGGATTCAGCAATGGGGAGTGCTAAGCAATGAAAAAGCAGGATGATTTTTATAAGGATTCAGAGATGAAGTAGATTAGACTGCTTCTTCTGGGTACTAAACATTTAAAATGTCTTGGGAAACAGAAAAAGCACATGAACATATATTATGAAACATCAATGATTGCCCAGTTGCAGCACTTGGTAAATTCCAGCATTGACTAGGTAACAATCTTCAAGAATACAATAATTTAGTGCTTCTCTTTTCGCAGAAACCTACACAGATCATACCATCATCAGAGTACAGTTAAAATATGTAAGTGTCAGAGGCAAATCTAAAAGCACCTCAGCAAGATAATAAAATTTATCTACAGGTAGTGGGTAACTGATTTCTTCTTCTCCCTCTTTTTAGAGGGTTATAACAAAGAATGTACAATAATGTACAATAAGCATCACAATTATGCTTATGGACCTTCTATACCATAAAATACAGAACTTAAATATCTAAGACATGGCACAGGATCTTTTCCTTACACATAGAAAACATACACCAGATAAGTCTATAGGCTTTGTGCCAGAGAAAGAAGCAAGGAATTTAGCTATCCTATGATTTTTCACTCTGTCACCGATTTCCAAGGCAATAAACTATTCATGTTTTAAAAGTAAGTAGAAATTATCCTCATTTTGCTGGCATTAATCTGAAGCAATGTCATATCAGTGGCATTGGGTCAGCAAGCAGAATCTCTCCTTAGTTATGGGTGAGTAACTACACTGAAACAAATGAGTTAATATTAACTAATTGGCAACAGAAAGATGGTTCTCTTCTAAATAACTCCAGACAAAGACTGATAAAAATCAACAAGATTTAATATCATTCACAACTTCAATTACATTCTAATACTCCAAAAGTAAGTGAAAGGCATTTACATGTCAACCCCCCTAAATGTTTCCAGTTGTGACTGAAGCAGGCTTGACTCTTCACATCACCCCATTAAATCAACAGCATCTAACAGGCTGTTGTACTACAAACAGTATAAAAACAGGACAAAGTTAAAAAATGCAAACTAATCATGCAACCCAGAGTCATCTAGTCTGTAGCCTAGGGTTACATTAATTTTGAACTGCTACTGAGGTCTGTGCTTTGCCAATGTCCTGCATTTGCACTCACAACAAGGTGTGACTCAGCTCTGACTCCATGTACCAACTTTTCCTCTCCAGTATCTCTGGGGAAAAATGTGGTGCTCTCAGCTGTGCTGCTGATCCCAGACCTTGCCTTCAGCAACAGAAGGCAGACAATTTTTAGCCATGGCAAAGACCCAACTGTCTAAAGACTTCTGCTTGGACTTGGAAAAACAGCCAATTATCCAGGCATCCCAAAATATCCAACTATGCTACCACTGCTTTGATACTTCCAACTATGTAATCTGGAACAAAATCATAGACCTTTTCTTGTTAAAAAAAAAAAAAAGGAAGACTAAGGTCACATCATTCTGGAGAACCGCACGACTAGCACTTGAGAAAGATCAGTTAAAAAAAAAAAAAAAGGCAGAACAAAAACTATAACTAGATAGTAGCACTCAGCTGGGGGAGGGGGAGGATATTGTTTTTGTTATTTGATGTCTCCTGGCCATGCTGAACAATAGCAAAATTTGCACAGACAAACGAACCTTCCAGATTTCCAAAGAACTGTCTCTTACTATGACTTCTTGGAGACAGTACCCAACCTTAACAGTTCTGCTCCTCTTCAAATTCCCTTTGCTTGGTCACTTTAAATTGAGTCTCTGTGGGTCACATATAACAGAAAATGTGAGCAGTAGCTGGGAACAATTAGCAGTCCCTGTACTGAAGGGGAAATTCAGGTAAGAAAGACTGAAATAGATACAGCTTGCTCAAAACAGACATTTTCTCCTAACTTACACAGCCTGTTGGACACCAAATTATCAAATCATAACCAAGGATCACTTCTGTCTTTGCTACAAAGCAGAAGCAGCCCAGAAACACAACAAACTGGAGTGACAGCTTATCGGGACATCACTGACACAAAGATTAACCCTTTCCCAACTAAATTATACACCAGCTTTTCTTGAAATAGTTCTTACAGTCTAGAAGAAGATTTGATTTTATGTAGTTTAAGGACAGTGCACCACTCCCTTTAATACTGCTCTGATATAGTGAGAAAGAAAGCTGTAGAACAGACTGCTCAGAACTTCCTTTCCCTCTTCAGCTATCCTTTGAAAGTGCCCTTCACTCACAAACTGGTGAATCCTCATTTAATCTCCTGCTCAGTGGGATCCAGTCAAAGGGCAGCTCCTCCTCCCCTCCTGGAGAGAGCAGTGCTGCAAAGTCAGCAGTGGGAGTGAGCTGGAGGGCCACCATGGGAAGAGAATTTGTGACCTTCTGGCTCTAGGCTATGAGTTTGACCAACTGAGCCATGCCCAAATGATCTCCCAGTTAATTTTTCACAGACTTAACTGAATCAGCAAGACTCAACTACCGCAAAAACTACTTAGAGCATATTCCCAGGTATATATTTAGCTTAGCTCATGGGGATACTCAAGTGCAGGTTCGTTTCTTAACTTCAGGAATGCTGATATCCCCCAGCTACTGACAGATGATGCCTTTCCTGGGCTGCATCATGGTTCTGAGAGTCTCATTTACACAAGGATCAGAAAATACTCAGAATGAAAAATCCAGAACTAGTGCCCCTACTTAACACAGCTGTGCACATGCAACAGATGGCAAAACAGGAATATACCTGCAGTGTGTCCTGCTGTGACAGCTGTCACCCAAAGGTCCCACTGCAGCAAATCAAACTGTGGCAAATAAAGCCACACTATGTGCAGCACAGCAGCTACTTGCTGAGCACAGTACACCTCAATTATTCTGCAAAGAAGTTCCAGAACTCCCAACTCTCATTCCTGGTTTGGGTTTTTCTCTGCTTTTCCCTGGGAGGCATCTCATGCAAATCCTGAAGAATCTTTCCACACGAAAAGAATATAGAGGCATAAAGCATGGTGTTTTCAACCATCTTGATTTCTGCAAAACCCACCAGTTCCACAACAATAGTGAATTCTGAGAGGCATTAAAAACAATGCCAGGGACAATCTGGAAAGAATCCTGCTAGAAACTTTAGTTCTGGAGGATTCTCAGCCAAAAAATACAAAGGGCACTAAGTCAAGGTGAGCTGAGAAGCATGCAAGCAAGAAAACTTGCCAATAAAAGGCACTCCTTAAGAACATAATGTTTTGTCTGACTGCTTTATCAGAAAATCAATTTACAACTGCTTCTTACTACTCTGAACTGAAAATGACAGGGGTGCAAAGGCTCTAAATCAAGAAGATGAAGGTAGGCAGAATAGGGCAGCCCTCATTCACTAAAGCACTGAACATTTTCTACTTTTGCATTTTAGAGAAATCCAGACTATTATTTTCTTTTCCTGAGAGTATTTTTTATTTTGCTATTTTGATTTTCAAACAGTACAGAGTTTCTGCTACCCACAGTAGTCAGTCATCCAATGCTCTGGAGCAGTCTGGTCTATTTTAACAATCTTTTCATGGCCAAATATCTTCAGAGATGCCTAAACCTGCTAATGCAGAATAACCCTGCTGTAGAGAAGAATAAATGCCTTCGATTTCAAACCAAGCAATTTGGTAACAAAACCACCACAGACCGACAGGGAAATTCTGGTAGCACTTTCCAGAAGGTTTAGTTCAAACTCTCAACATGCACAAGGTAGATTAAAAGATCCAACTTGGAAATTGATATACAAAGATAAACTTTAAATGCAATTTGAATTGACCTACTTAAATGTTATCATGTCCCTTTATTCTTGCTTTACTTCACTTCAGAATACTTTCAGTTTTGTATACAAGTTCTCTCATCAAAAGGAAAATGGAATTTACCCTTCCCTTTGCTTCTTCCTCTGCCACTGCAGCATGACCTCTTTGTCCATTTTCTCCTGTTACTCACCAGTTCCCAATTTTCCAGCATGGCTTAATTTCACCATTCAGTTTTCACACACAACTCTGCTTGAACACAGCCTTTGTTCTCCAGCACATTTTGTATTCTTACCTGTACACACAGAGGCAGCACGGTGCCCCCAGCATGCTCCAAAAAGTAATTAAACATGCACTTTTTTCCTACAGTGTCTCAACCTTTCCCAGAACAAGCAGGGAAATCCTGGGAAATTAACACACAGTGGCATACCACTCCAGACAGCTCCAAGTCCACAGAAATAGCTCTGACAGTCTCCACTTTTTCCCTCACTGTTTCAGCATGTAAAAATCCTGTCTCTTCATACTTGGGAGTCTTAATACTGATTTGTTCCACTGTCAAGATGGCTCAACATCTAAGTCTCACATTTCTTCAGCAGGTCCATATTGCTTTCCCAGGAGCTGAAAGGCTCACTCACCTCCTTGTGGGAATCCTTATGTGCTTCCAGTGTTTTCATGATAGTCAACTCCGCATAGTTCTTAAACCTCGCCGGCTGGTTCCGCAGGATCTCCCTCAGCACACGCAGTGCCAGGGCTCTTATTGAATGCTGTGTTGAGAAAAACAGGCATTAGAAAAAGATTAGAAAAAGCTGCTTCACAAAATCATAGTTTAAAGTGAATTCTCATGGCTCACCAGAAATTCACATGGCTCCCTGCGCCACCAGCTCCAGTGGAGTGAGTGATGGAATCAATGTTACAAAATCCAGAATTGTTTGCTCGTGCACAAAAAGCCACATAAAATTACTGTTCTCACATATACAATCAGAATGACTACTTTCCTAAATTTCATATTCTTTTGGCAATGAAGTACAAATTTGTACTCCCAGGAGGACATTGGCATTACATGAATCTACAGAAGTCAGATCATATATGTTTTGCCTTTCCTTGTTTGCTCAGCTTGGCAGATATCAAACTGGACTCCATCCATGCCACAAAGCTGTTTCTCATGTACTAAAGGAGTAAAACTGACTCTTCCTGTAACTCCTACGGAAATTACTTTCAAGGACTTAAGTTACTGTAGTCAACACCAACCTATGTCTTCATCCTTCATATCAAAAGATCATGAGCAGAAGGGATTTTTAACACCCGTGTCAATTCCATAACTTACATGAAATTTCTGCCACTCCAAATAGATTTCATTATTTTGATACCTTAAGTTTTAAGTTTTTCTATTCTGCTTGGGTGTGCTTTTCTGATGTGCTAGGGTGATGGAGACAAAACAGTCCTAGTTGAGTTAAGAACTCAAGGGCAATTTCTTCAAACTTCAGGCCCTAAGCATAAACAATGTGGAAAGAGGAGAGCGGGTTCATGCAAATGAACCAAAACCTATAAAAATGTGAGATTTTATGACCAAGTCCTCCTTTGCTTCCATCTTGGAGCCCATCCAGGCAGGGGCCACAATACTGCTAGGGTGTGGCCTTTCGTAAGCCTCTCAATAAATACCCATTTTATTCCCCTTAACTCTGTGTGTAGCCTCTGTTCCAGCTCCTCTAGGCAGCAATTTCAGCAGAAGAATACATACTTTACTTCATTCTCTGCCTTTAAAATATGTGCTTTGCTATTCATCTGCAAAATTCATACAGCAGCACAGTTCACATGTACTTAAGACAAAGTCACCAGACCTTCTGATACTTGTGTGATGGTGCTATCATTAACCACGTAGAACTAATGCAGTTCATGCCTGAACTAAGAACAATGACTGAGAAAATGTCAGCCACCTACCCTGCTTCAGAACTAACATTTCTGAGAGCATGACGTATTTTACAAGGAGTATAAGAAATAAAATAGATTTTTGAATCAGATGAAACAAAAAAGGAACCTTGAGTGCTTTGAAGCCTCAATATTGTAACATTCAGGTAGAGCATGGCTCTGATGTGAAGTTGCAGTGGGGTGTTGAGCCTTTACCAAATATCATTATGCTGCAAGCTGAACAAATATCCCCAAATAGAAAAAAGCCTAGCCTGTAAATTACCACTTTGATCAACTACCAAACATAAAGCTGTGATAATAACACGGGGTTTTTTAACTTTCCAAAACAAGATCCCCTATAAAAGCAGCTTGCTTTTGAAGACATTTTTACAAGAGACCCCATGAGATCTAATACCCTGGGTCTTTAAATCACATAGGGAAAAAAATTAATTTATTCTAGAATGCATTTATTCTCCTTGCTCGGAATGGGTTTAATATAGCTAAGAGTTTGTAACTTCATCCTAACTCAGGAGAGAATAACTGAAGTCTTGACAGTTTTTTACTAGACTAGAACATTTTTTTCTGATTCTAGTTCAATTTCCTAGCTATTTATTAGTAACATTCTGGAAGGAGGGAGAAAAACTGGGACATTTTGGAGTAACTTAAAGTTTGTCACTGAACAGAGTGAAAACTAGATTTGTCGATCTTCAAAAGAAAAAAATGAGCAGTGCAGTATCACTGATGAGTGGCAGGTTTCATTTAAACTGGTGTGTAGGAATTATTACCCAAGATGAAGCAATGTACAGGAGAGTTAAGACAAAATCTACATCTCACATCTTTGTCTCCAAGCGTTTCCAGCAGCAAGAGCAGAATGGTTTTGAAATGCTCCTCCCAAACTCCAAGATTATCTTCCCTTGTGATCTTTAGCAATTCCAGGAGAGCTCCTTTCCGCTCCTCCACCCGCTCGTTGTGGTTGGAGAGCTCTTTCAGAAGATCAGCCACCAAATCCGAATGGTCAATGGGTACTTCTAGGACAAATGACATCAAATCATTTGGAGAAATGGGGAAAAGATCAAAGGTGCAAAGATTGCTCAAACTCTACAGAATAAGGTTCATGTAACAAGGGGCCCCCCAAAAATGCATCAACTTCCAGGTGACCTCAGTCAAGCAGGGAACAGAATTTGACTAGCCCATAATTCAACTTGAATTCATAGCACAGCTCGTGCATCTGCACATGGCTTCTAACGAACCAGGAAGTGATGACAACTGGATTTCTTCCAGTTCCAACAATTACTTCTACAAGATGAGAACTGCCGTGGTTTTTCCCAGACATACACACCCAAAACCAGTGGTCACATGTATGACCTTTAGATTAAAGTACAGTGACTCATCAGTGTACTGCAAAAGAATAAAGCTGATGTGTAGCTGCACTTAAATGAAGTCAAACACTCAGTAACAACAAGCTGTTGAGTGAGGCGTTTCAGCCATGAAGAGGGGAAGGTCCCAAAGCACATCCATAGATGCATGTGAATGCTTAAGGGAGTAGTTTGCAGGAAACCCCAGGCAAGCAAGAATCAAAACCACAGTATAATTATTTTTTCTCAACAGGCACAGATGATGTTCTGCTGGGACATGAGAACAAAGGGTATTTCATACCAAGCCTCGACTCAGATGCAATGTAATACACAACACATGCACAGGCAGGCACGTATCTGAGGACACTACCCGTACACAAACACACCAGGAGGCAGCGAGCTGCCTGCACTGTTAGAGGTGAGCTGATACAAACCATCCCGAAGCTGATCCATGTCATCATCGAACACTGCCTCCTTCAGGGCAGTCTTGTCGTAAGTGTTGATGGTGTCAGTGTAAGGATAGGGGTTGTACTCCCGAGCACGGGGCCCTGAAAAGGCGCGGGGAGGCTGCGTGTTCAGGAGGGAGGTTTTGTTATCCAGAGCCATCCTTCCGCCTTCCACAATGTCACTGCTTCCACGGACATCACCACTAGGGAGAGCAAGGCCACCATCTCGAGACACCTGGGGGAATTGGACAGAGGAAAAAATGGTATGTTCAAAATTCTATGGGAATTGTAGCATTTCTGGAGTTCACCCGCCAATAGGAAAAGGCAAAGAATTATTTACATGTATTATTTATACATAATACTTAAGTATCATTCACACAATTACACCTGCCCAAAAATATCTCATGATCACAGTTTCTGTAACCACTCTTGCAGCATAAGATACTGTATGAGTTGTGCACTTGGAGTGATTACAGGTCCTAAGCCTGTGAGGGAAACCATCCATATGCATTTTAAGAATGGACATTTCCCATTACAGACCTGACTACACACAATCCATGCAAAAGCCATCACTGAGCCAGAGGAACACTAGCACTGTTTCCATCCTTCATGGAAACTTGCACAGAAGCCCAGTGAGCACATCCAACAGGAGGCAGAGTTCAAAGGGGGCCAAGGGAAACAGTCAGTGAAACCCCATGATTAAGGTATAAGAAATTAGCAACTAATAAGCAGAAGACGCCTGTAAGAATAGAGCAGAACTAACTGGATTTTGTAGACTAACAATCTGCAACAGGCTTGATTACAATATTTTAAAATTTCACCTATCTGAGGACATTAATCAGTGGAATACTTACAATGTCACAGTCTTTCTTTCCATCACGTTTGATTGGCTCATTCAGGTCCTCTTGACTACGGAAACTAAATTTCTCAATTGCTTCTGTGACTCCACGAAGAGAGCTGTAGATTTCATCAGAGTTTAGGTTCTCCGTGTCATAATCCAGCATACTAAAGACCAAACGTATATGAAATGTTACAAATGAAATTGGAATCCGCTTCTGACTGTTAACAAAAACAAGCTGGAGACAGATGGTTTGGAGTACCCTTTCTAACAGTGACGTCTAACACAACATGGATGGAATCAAAGCAGAGTTCAGGTCTGAGTTTCCCCTCAAATGGGAACGCAAGGAGAACACATTGCTGTAAGTGAAGGGAAAACAGGTCCACTGTTTCTTACATTCAGTAAGCCTGCTATCTTCTGCAAACCAAAAAACCCTATCCCCAGTGTGGCAGTGGTGTAATTTAAACAGGAAAATAATATCAATCACTATGAGAACTCAAAGGGTTGTGACAGCTGGTGGAAATGAAATCAGTGAAATTTACGTTTAATAATATATGAAACTATGACAGATTTAAATGGAAAGGAAAATGCAACTTGACATAAACCTTAGTCTAACATGGTCCATTTTAATTTATAAAGTAGTAAAACCTAACTCACTTGCACAGTGCCTTGATAAAAAAGTATTTCAGTATTTGGCCTAAGTTTGGGAATTCTCTCACTGAAATGACACTTTCTTGCAGTCTATCTATTCCTCAGAAATTTCTCAGCAATATAAATCCTCAAAAGTTTTGGGATTCCTTGAAGAGTTATCCAAAGTTAAGTTCCATGACAAAATGCCCTGCATGAAAGGGGAGATGATATTAAAAGATCTGGCTAAAGAGAAGTTCCTACAAACTTCAAGAAAATAAACAAACATTATTGGCAGGGCTCTGCTCTATCTAGGAGAAGCTGAGTTTGCATGACAATCACTAAATCAAAAGATCCAACAAGAGAGAAGAACAATTTCTGGCGGAGTCTCAGATCTCAGTAGAGCCAGAAGCAAATAGACTGAATCAGACATTTACATCAAGTTGTTTGTCAATAAATGGCAAGAAGTGGCTCCCTACAGTGGTGAATTACTATTTCATAACATTTTGGGAAGAATGACAGGATGGGCTTGGAGGCAGATGGCTGAACGAGTTGTGTTCCTTTTCCACAAAAGAAAGATTCCCTATGAGGTGGGTGGGGGAAAAACCCAAACAAACAAACAAGAAAATCCCTTCTGAATTCTGGGTACACAGCTGTTATTTTCAATGGAACCAAGAGTAGGATATTAAATATCTATTAAATATCTAGAACCACAGCTTTTTTTTCTGGAAGAAACTTGGGAACTTCAGACAGAGGATAAGATTGGCTGCCCAATTCCTTTGGGATTGACACACTGAAAATAGCCATAATCCCTGGCTCCCAAGCAACGTATTTGCACTACACTCACACAAGCATCAGCACCATGTATTTTGGCAAAGAAACCAAAGAACAACTCCCCAAACAGAGTCTGGCAGGCCAGGGAGAATGAGAAATCACTTAACAGACCAAGATCAGGAAACAAAAGCTGTTCATGAACCTACAGAAGTTGAAGTATTTATACTTTTTGGACAGCTGAACAACAGTAATGCTCTATGAAAGCTTTCCAGACAGAAGGCAAGGCAGTTCTTAGATTCTTTAGAAGTACCAGTCAGAAACAGGAAAATCTTTGTTTCATAAGATCTTAAATATATACGTTTTGAGCTCAAGCACATTTAATTCATAGATCTTAAAAGGTTTTTCATACAACTCTGAAGTGGGCAATGAAACCACCATTTGAAAAGGTATGCATGTGTACTCACACCAAGAGATGACATGACTTACCAAAGGTCACACAATTAAATCCGTGTCAGAAAGACCAAGAAATAATCACAAATATAATACTGACAATAAATCTGCTGAAATCATCGCTTCTTTCCTCAGGGATGACATTTGTCCTACACTGTTACCAAAGAACAATCAGAATACAGACTCTTCAGTGCTAAAGGAATAAGGCAATTTCTCAGAGCCACCAATCTGATGCATTTGTCAAAGCACGAACCCACATTTTAATAAAAATCTAAAGAATCCAGTGACTTCGTATGTCAGGAGTAAGCCTGTGTAGGAGGTCACATTATGGCTGTGCTCTACATGAATGGAAGTTCTACAATGTGAACACACATCTCTACTGACAGTATGTGCACTAGAATACTTCACAGACAACACAATGGGGGAATAAAAGTAAAATGGAACTACACTCACCTTTCAGAAAAAAAAAGGCACAAAAGGGAAAAAAAATGACTCATGCAGAAAACTAGAGGAAAGGCACAGGATGAATAAGAAGTGAGTAGAGATGAGCAGTGTTTAGGGATGTCACAACATTATTTTCCATCTGCTGCACAAAACCAATGCAGCTGTCTATAAGTTTATCAAGATACAATTTGGCAGGTTTCCAGTCTGGCATGAAATACATTTTTCTTCTATAAATTGTTATTCAGTTTCCAATCCCAACTATGTGTAAGTAATCCACAGTTTAGTGTCTTCAAGCAGTACACAGTAACTCACATCCTTGCACTTTCAGGCTCTGGTCTGGAACCTATGTTACATTATTCGAAACCTAACTTATCTGGTGTCAGATAAAAGAAGACAGAAAAAAACACTCTCAACTAGTTTTATTCCAAAAATCAGCATCGATCTCCTCCACAGGTACCTCCCACAGTGTCCTAGTCCAGAGTCAGAACATACATTGAAAGTTTTCAATTCTGCAGAGGTACCAACTGCTGCATTCTACTTTCCCTCTCAGATTTCACAGGTTCTCAAATTTTGAGTTCTCAAAGAAAAACTTCTTTGCTTTTCTTTCAATAGTTTTTCATTAAGACCTTTTGGTTTAAGGAAAGACTATATATAGTCCTTCCTCAGATAATAGGTATATGTAAGTCAGGAGAAACCACATTTACAGATGGTGTGTTATCAGGATCTGATTTGTATTCAGGTTGGGGTTTTTTTCTTAAAATCAGCATACAGCTTTAGTCCAGTATATTGATCCAAGAGCTGTATGCAAACTGGAACAAAATGTGAGGGCGCAGGAGGAGAAATAGATGTCAAAATTGCCACTGATAAACTCAAAATCTTGTGGTAAGAACAATTTTAATTTCAATACTACAAATTTCCAAGATGTTCCACAATCACATTATAGAAGCAAAGTTCTATGTGTAGTCACTCCTGAGCTCTATGTGTCCATCTGGAGGTACTTGAGTGCCATATGCACAGTGCAGCCAAAGATCCTGCTCTTTTATGTGGTATGGTAACACAACCAGTGCCTGCCAAAAGTGCTCAGCAACTGTGTTCTGCATTGGAAACTGACTGTGAAGCATCTTCCCTGCCATCTTCTTGAATGGTTGCAAGAGTCTGGAAAAATCCACATTTTTTTATCACCACTTGCATGCCACATCTTCCCTAAGCAGTGAGGAAGTGGCTGCCCATCACTCCTGCTCTCTGAAAGCTTTCTTCATCTCTTTTCCTTCTCCAGCCAAAGCCTCTGCAAGTCCCACATTTGAACAAACCCCCTGGTGTGAAAGGCAAATAATACTGTGACACCTCAGACAAGTTGGTTTAACAGGTAGCTTGTTACCTGGGAGAGTAAGAGCGTCTGAAAGTCTTGTGGGAAGGAGCAGTGGGGATGGAGTTAGGCTGAGAAAGGGGAGGGGGGTGCTTCGACAGCCCATCTGCACTCCAACCCCAGAGCCGACTGCCGTGACCAGAGGAGAAACAAAAGAGAGAAAAAACAGAGAAAGGAGAGGGAGGAAAAAAAAAGAAACTATAATCTGAGTGGCTTAGTGCTGTCATGCTGCCTTGGAGAGAGAAAAAAATTAATAGAAACAAAATTAAACAAGAATACTCCATTGCGCCTCACAAGTCTTTGTTTTGGCCTTTATTATTCATTTCCATTTTTATTCCTAACATATTATGATTCACAAAAAATCCAGTCCCTGCTTGTACTAACCAGTAGCTTTTACAAATGGATATAGCCTCTATAATCAGCTCCATTTATAATGTTCTAGGCAAACAATCCCTGGCCACACACGTATTCTATTTCTAAGCAACAGGATTCCCCTGGAAGAAAGGAAAATTGGAATTTTTTTTTTTTTTGTTAGACACCTGAAGGTACCTTGTAAAGTTTATCTCCTGGTGTCTCTATAAAAGGCTGCATTTAGGCCCTACACAATTAGGAAATTTCTGCAGGCCTTAAGATCTGATTCTGTTTCACCAGATTCAAACTGAACCCAAATATGCAACAAGTGAAAGTCAGTCTAGAGTGTAAATGTATCATGTCAACTTGGTCCAGGTCTCAGCAGACAAAGTTGGAAAGACTGGGTGAAACCAGCCTCTGACTTGATTCAGATCACTACTTAAACTTTCACAGGCCCCTTTAAGTTATTGTATTGTATGACCCTGTGCCTTTGGGTCAAGACATCCATTCCTGTGTCAATTTGTCTAATCTCTGCTTTTGTCCTTTTCCAATTATGGTGCATGGATTTTCAGAATCACCTCTTAAATGAGAATAGATCCTTGAGCTGGTGGAGTATTCGCAACACCACTTTGTTTCTATTACATTTCAGCACATTGTCTTGGATAGCTGTATTTGTATATATGCAAGTGAAAGATACTTTCAGATCAGAAGTGACAAATCAAGAATTGCTCCAGTGCAAACAGCAGCAAAGCCAGTTAAAAAATTCCTCTGAAGAGCAGTGTCAAGAATTTAATTTATTAACCAGCAATCAAATCCCACAGCTATTACATGCCAGTATTATCAAGGAAACACTCCAGACTCCCAGACTGCTGATCAGAAGTCTCTAAGCTCAGGTCTCACCTACCTGAATATGGGCCATCAAACAATGCAGGCTTGTCCTTATTGCATAAAGTGGGTGGCTTATTTTAATTCTGTTTCCATGCCTTTGCTTGCTCAACTTAATACTGAATGTGTCAGATTTTGTTTTAATGGTATTTTTTATTATCAGTGAAATAGCAAGCATGTAAACTTATATGGCCAGATAAAATTGTAGCCTTTTATTCTGATGCATTCCTCTAAAGATCTTTGAAGGACTAAATTATTTTTTAAATGTTGGGTGATTTTTGTTTGTTTTTAATAATCAAAACTAAGCACAGGCTTCTGGGCTAGTAATAATGGCAGAAAGTAATTCCAAATGTATTCATTTGATATTCATTCAATTACTCCTATAAAATTCTAGGTGAAAACTCCCAACCTGAATGTAACATTTAAGTTTGCTGAAGTCGATTTACCATTCAGAACAGTATTCTAACACCAAACGACTTCACAACTTAGCATTTTCCTTTTTGACTACAACATAATTTATTCAATCTCAGAAGATTTTCTCTGTCCAACACAAACCCAAGCCTTTTCTCTGTGCTTTGCCTAGGAAACACTCTTCTCTTTCAGTCTGAAGTCTGGGTTGTTTTTTTTTCCTATTATTTTCACTCTTCCCAAGTACCCTTCCCTGTTTTATTTTTCAGAAAGCATATCTTTCTTCCATAACTCCTCTCATCAAAAACTAAAACTGTTAAGGAAAAAAAAAAAAAAAAAAACAGATACAAATGCAGAATTAACTCACAGATGTAGTGGATATGTTATAGTGACCATGAAGCAGAACTGGAGGGAGTCAATGAAGGCAGAAGAAAGGACCCTGGAAGCATGCTACACTCCTGAAGACTTTAGGGAATACTTTAGCAGATGTTATCATCTGGATATGCAAATCAGCTGTTTGCAGAGTCCACTTAAACCGAAACATTAAAATCTATCCAGAGAGCCCAAATACAGGTACACATCAATACAAGCACACACAGCTCCCAAAAAATCAATCATCTGGAGTACATACATAACACAGTAAATCTGTATCAATGAAACCTTGCTGACTAATGTTGAGGATATTGCCCACAAACCATTAGTGATATGGGAGAGCAGCTATGCTTAGCAGCATTTTCATATTCCTACAGGACACAAACATCCTTTCTACACATATCCCAGCTCCAAAGACAGTATGCCTCTGGAATTTGATCTGTGAACCAAGAAAAAAAATAAAAGGAAAGCATAACCTTCAAAACCAAAGATAGCATTAAGAACTGGACATAATCCTTGCACTGACTAACTCAGGCTGCCAGTACAAGACATGGGCAAGGACAAGGTAAGCAGAGCCTGCACACAGAGCACCCCATGAGGCAATGGGAATACACAGCCTGACTACAAACCTTTGGCAGTAGGCCCCATGAAAATGTAAAGCCAAGCCTAATTTTGGAGGAGAGATACACAGAGAAACTGGGAATCTTTATCCTTTTATACTGCTTTTAGAATGACCTGGGCATGCTTATGTTTCGAGTTTGTAGAGAGAAAAGTGACATTTCACAGCAATGCTGAATAGCAGACAACAAGCACTTGAAATGGAAACATGACACTGAAACATGTATACCAAAGAATGCAATACTACAGCATACCCTACTTACCACAGTCTGTCAGCACATCTTTCAAAGCCTCTTCTCTAAAAAGACAACCAGAGCTAAATTCTCCCTTTAAGTCAGGACCATGCCCAAACTGTGCTACACAAGACATTTTCAAGAAGGATGCAGACCAGCAGAGCATCAGAAGCTACTGTCCCTGATTTCAGTACTTCAGTACTTCCTACTTTCCTACAAATGGCAGAAATCTGCAGATACTGTTACAGCTCGGAAGGCACTCACCACAAAAAGGTACAGCTTGTCCCTTCCAAATATTTTAAAGGGCTTTCATACCAGCTTCCACCTTTACTTATCACTGAAGACTAACTTTTAAATATCACTCTTTGAATAACTAAATCCAGCAAGGAAGCAGGACACACTTCTTGAAAAGACACCTAAATTTTTGATTAAACATCTCCAAGAACACTATGGAAAATGGAAGAAACTGTTGTTTTCCAAAGGAAATTCCTGGCCAACTGCATCCATGGCAGAACGTTCTGGAATTTTCAAACTCAAACTAGTCCTTGAGAACAAATTACATATGGAAAGAAACCCTTCAGTTTCTAAACCCAAAATGCTAGAAAGCAACAACAAAGTACACTGGATGCTTTAATCAATACTTTGATATTTGCCTCCTGACATCAAAAGGTGAGAAGAAACCAAAGACAAATAGAAAACCGTGAGTGAAGTGGCAGTAAACAATCATGTCCCAATGGCAAAACCCAAAAAGCATGGTAAAATGTTGTGGAATTATAAAATAAGTGCCACATGCAAACAAGGCCAACAAAACCACAACGTAACCACAGGGAGACACAGTTAATAATTTCCCATGACAGAAATCAGCAGGGCAACAATGCTCAAGCTAGTCAAAAGAAGCAACACAGTTGGAACTGTTCCCCTGAAACTCTACCACTTAATTTCTTAATGAAACCTTTGTGGAAAAAACTCGTAATAGGCAACTCGGCTTTGGCTTGCAAACTCTTGGTTTAGTTTTGAATTACAGCAGATTTAGAAGTCACAAAGATGTATTTAGATGCCAAAAATCTTCTCAGGAAACCCCAATGATTCCTATGTTGCTGGAATTAGTATAATTATTCATTAATTCAATAAATGCTATAGGCCTGTACTTTTCCTGACACACAGGAACTCATGTGTCTAAGCATCCTTTCAAGAGACAGTTTTCCAAGTAACAAGGGTAGATCAAAAGATTTCAGAGTAAACTACTACAGATTTCAATGTAAATTACTATACTGCACTGTGAACTGCAGTCCTCACCCAACATGGCTCCTTATGTTTCTCACAACCTGTCATAAGGAGCACAGGTAGACAAGGACAGCAGAATTTAAGCTTTTCCAGCATGAACCAGAGTTTGTGCAGGTAACAGCTTGCTACTTTCCTCCAATATTTCTATAGTTCCAGAACATACCGTTTACAATGTCATCTCCCCTGCTCTAAGTTTTAATGCTGCAAAACATCCACATTCCCAGGAGCCACGAGTCCGTGGTGGCTGAATACAAGATTTTGGAGTGGACCAACATATTCCAGGGTAGCACCTGCAGCTTCAACGAAACACCTGGTTGTAACAGACCTGCTGTGCAAAAGACCAGGCCACTGCTCTGCTGGTGAGGAGCCAGGTGAGCCATCTGGGAGGTATTCAGCACTGAAACACCACCTCTGCTTGTCCTGCATCCTCACAAAGAATAAGAGGCAAACAGCAGACACAGCACTTGTCTCAGCAGCACAATAGTCTGTACTACAGTCAGAATAATGACAAGTCCACACCTAAAAAATAGGCACAATCTGAAACTCCTGTTCTGAGAGTCATCATAGACTTTGTGACATATGCAATCTCAACGAGACCTTATTTCTAATGCTGCCAATTAATATTACCTTTATTACCCACAAATGTAATTCTGAAGAAGGCCACGAAAGAAAACTAATAAAATAAGAAAGGACATTAAGGTTACACAGACATCATGAGGACTGAAACACTGAAGTCAGTCACCAGCCACATATTATCATGTTCAAACACTGCTTCTTTGCAGAAATCTACTGTAAACTTATTGTCTTGTTTTTGCTTTCAAAGTGAGTCACATTCTGCAAACGCACACTTGGTGTTGAAATCCTTTAGTATTTTGCAAGGGGTTTAATTAGCCTGCCACATTACCTTGGAGACAGTCCACCATGGGAACAGTTGGTAGGTGAAGTTAAGGGGCTGGTTCTGCTGCTGGAGTGCCGGGAAGGAGTCCGACCAAGGGTATTGCTGGGGGAGCCCTGACACAGAAGCAGGAAGACAGGGATTAGCAACGTGTTGCAATGCACAGGCAGAAGTACAACAACAGGTCCAAACAGTGCCTCTCTTTGCTCTAGACAAGCTTAGTGCAATTTTGATTACGCCTCTTGACCTAAAAATCTGCAGGCATGGTTCATGTAGTCATTAATATGCTCCTGAAGATATTACTGAGGATAAAGAAAGTGTATGTGCACTTCTCTACAACCCACAGTATCTGCAATTTAAATACACAACATGTATGGCCTGCAAATATTGCCAGAGAAATTTTTCATCAATTCAGCTTCTCAAACAAGATTTGCAAGGCTCCAAAACATGCTCACCATTACCCTGGCAATTTAGCATTCTAATTACACAGCTATTTTCCACATTGTCTAAAGCATTCTGATTATGCTTGTTAGGAGCATAAGTAAGCAGTCTAACTTACCATTTTTCCACTGGCCTGCACAACGTTCTATACCACAGCAAAATGAGTAGAAATTGCCCCCAATTCTGACACTTTTCATATAGAGTAGAAAGTATTAGAGAATCTAGACCATTTGCCTGGAAGCCTAACGCTGCAGTTCTAGCTTACACTAAATTCTACTTAGCCTTGTGGAAATGCAAAGATAAGAGGGTTCAAATTCCAGCAAGTTCACAAGATTTCCACATTAAAAAGACAAAAAATTCCTTAATCCTTGCTGCTCTGGGAAGGGAAAGAAATTTCCTATTTAAGTCTATTAACATGTTCCTTCAGTGAAATAAAAATATGTAAGAACTTTATATAAGAACAAAACATGAGGTAATAAGCATAGACTGAGATGATTTTATAGGTCACATTAAAGATCCTGCAAGCTTCTTAACAGACAGTGTAACTGTTATTAAATTGATCTCCATAATAGTCTTAAGTCCAGAAAATCTGTGGTATCAGAATCTGTTTTAGCCAAAAAGTCATTACTGGCAGGACTTTCAAAAGCACCACCAACTGGAAAGCTCAAACCCCCCAATTTCAATGCACTTCTCAGTCACTTTTTAATCTCTTCTGGTTAGGACTATATTAAATTTTTAAATAACTGAATTTTTTATTTTAATGGTCCCTATTAAAAGCAACATCAAACAAAAGCCTCTGTTGCCATATTGCTTCAGGACAACAGTTACAGATAATTCAAACTGAACATCTGCAACAGCTTATCAATGAGCTGCTGTCTTTGGGGCTCTGCTGTTTGCAAGGACAAGGGCCTCTCACCACACTGGTGTTACTGGAGTTCTTGAGGTGGTTGTGCAGGAGCTTGGTAGCACCATCCTGGAATGTTTTTGGCAAGGCACCAAGTAACATGGTAAACTCAGGAGTGTTCAGTTCAAAGAGAGAAATCAGGACTATTTGTGCTGCCTGAAAAGAAGAAAAAAGAGATAATCAGTTTTTGTTCTTTGAAAAGAGCATGCATTCTCTTGGTAGTGATCCTTACAATAAATGATGTGTGTTTCATTCAAAAAGAAGACTCCCCTACCAGACAAATCTTTGAAATGTTGTGATATAACGAATTACTAACAGCAATAGTTAGTTTTAGTTCTTAAAGCTTAAATATATTTCTGTATTTATATCACTATTTTCCCAGATGTGAAGTGGACAGCTATTCACAGCTAGTGATCTCACCATTGTCCTGTCCAGCACATATTTCAATTCAACAAGTTACTGCAAAGATTTACTGAAAATAAATAAAACTAGAAGTCCAAACAAGTATGAAGACTCTAGGACAGCAATTTGTCATTCCTGTGCTTTTTATTTTATGTGTTAATGGGATGAGTTCTCTTCCCACCCAACCTCTTCCCTTCCTAGGGATCCCAAGTTTGTTTCATCAAACAGATAATCCAACTCTCCTTGTAAGTCTTGACCACTCAGACAGTTTCAGCAATAGAAGACTCCATCTGAAGTGAAAGATTTATGAGGATGGTGACAACCACCATTCTTTCAACCATGGACAGGCTAAACCCCACCAGATTTCCTAAATTTAGTAAGTGAAACCGAGGTACCACTGAAACAATTGATTCCATTAATTTTACTGGTCAAGGTTAGCTTTATGTGCCTCAGAGAACTCCTGTCAGAACAGGATCTCCCCGTATCCATTAGCAAACATACAGCTCTGCAGATCCGGAACTAAGACAATGGAATCGAATGGGAATGGAACCAGAATAAACCACAGTGTGTGGACCTGAAAATGTAATTAACATCACATGTTCCTAACCAGACTTCCCCAGCAGCATCCAACATGTGCGGATGCATCAGTTCTGTGGGCTTTTTCCCTGACTTTACTTCGAAAGTATACAAACATACAAACATGGATAAAAGAACAAGAAAAATGAAGCAATGATGAAGGACCTCTGATAGTCTGCAGCAGCACCTTCTCCAAGGAGGGTGTAGCCATTGACACATCAATAGAATACATATCTGGACACAAAGCAGTGGCTTGGGCTTACGAAGTTAAGCAGCAAAGCTACACGTGCTTTTATTTCGGAAAAGCATACACATATGCTTAGGAAGAGCAGACACATGGGTTTTACCCTTTCAGGAACTTTTTAAAATCTCCTAAAAACTACAAATAATTTTGAAAAGGGTACAAATGTAATTCACTGCTGTGGGGATAAATGTACATTCATTGTTCTCATCACATTAAAGAAGGATTTTTTAGTAAGTAATGTGCTCACAAAGTTGCCACAATTAATTGTATCTGCAACTCCCTGTAGAGTGGAATTCTTCACAGATGATGAACTTGGGTATACAAGCATCCTTCACTGCAGAGGGGAATCACAGTACCTCATTGTTTCAGGGTGTAAACTGCAATTCAAGCTACACTGTTTCTTCTGCCATCAGCAGTAACTAGCACAGCTTTGTATATAAAAGCATTTTCCAGCCATGAAAGTTGGGTAAGTATCATCCTTTTCATATGGCCAACAAAGGAACCGAGGCCCACAACACTCAATGGGTTTCCAAGGACTGCAGCAAACAACAGGTCTTCAGACTTCATTCCAGATGGATCATGCTGCCTCTCCTGCCAAAACTCTCACTGACTTGAACAGAAACACAGTATGTCATTATTCACTCTATTCTAAAGATCTAAGGATGAAAGAAGTGTGGAGAGTGTTTTCCCCAGGGCTTTCTCAACTCCATCGTCTACCCTCCTCTGACCTGAAGTTTTGGACAACTCTGCCATGAAGCCTGCCTGGTATCCAACAAGGAAGTGTATTTCTGTCCATTTTGATCCAAGAACTTTTAAGCTTTCACCAGCACAGTATTTTCTGTAATAAAAATATTACTGCACACAAGAGATCTCAGAACAAGGAACAGCAAGTTGAACTGAATGCAAAGTGACAAGTCATGCCAACGTACATTCCCACTGGTGAACAGCATGCGAACCCTTGATAGTTAGGAATGGACATGCAGATCCTGTGTGTCAGAACAAGCAGATCTCACATTCATTGAGATTAAAAAAAAACCAAACCAACCAACCCCCAAAAAACCAACAAAATCAAAAAAACTCCAAACCAAACCCCCACAAAAATTGATCAAGGTTCACAGACTGAGAAATTGCTTAGAGATTAGAATATCTGGAGTAATCAACTGGTAAGTCAGGAGCTGCCAAACAGAGATAATCAAAATGTGTCTCAGAGATCTGAGTGAAACCTTCAGCAAAGCTCCACCACAATCACCAGTAGCACAGATACTGTCCCACAGGAGTAGCTGAGAGAAGTTTCAGGTCTGAGAGGTCACTACAGTTTTGTTCCACTTTTGTGTTTTGGCTTTAATAAAACCAAAATTATGCCTGCCCTCCCTCTTTGCACAAAATACAGCTTGTCTTTAGGAGTGTCTGCCAGAATTCTGCATACCCAGTGCTCTTCAGCAGCTTTCCTGTCACTGGGCTTTGAATGAAGTCCTGAACAGTAGCTCCCAATGCTCGCAATCTTCTGTGGCCTCAAAGAAAACAGACCTATAGTTTATGCCTTTAGAAATAAAGGCAAGGACTACTACATCCTGAGAGTGGTGCTCCAGTAAGGTTCTCAAAGGCAACACTGGAGTTACATGGGTAAAACCCTGTGTTCTTTCTAAGTTGTCCTCAGACATCCAACAGTATTTCTACATTTATTTCAGGCAAAAGTAATTATTTCAAAGTGTGTCCATAACTTCCTACTTAACATTTAATACACAAAGGTCTTGGTCCCTACCAATGTAAGATCCATGTTGTTACTTACTGGCCTCAAAAGTTGGAAGGTCCATGCTAGCTTGAAATGACATTTGTAACATGCTCCAAGTTTCACTCCTGCAATACTTCTAATACAAGTAATTTTATTTCAGCAATGAAGAGCATCAGGAGAAGCATTTCCACACCTGTCGTAATAGATAGATCTGGACACACCTGATAATCCTCTATGTTTCACTTTTCATATTTTTACCTAATCAAAGGACATCTTCTACAGATAAGGTTTCTAAGAATTTTAAATCTGTGGATTTTCAGCTTGTGACAAACCAGAGACATTTTCATAATTTCTGAATTTCTGGACGTCTTCTTAAAATTTTGCTTCATTAGATTACTGTCAGAGTAAATAAACATAACAAGTAACAAAAAATCGTATTTCTGTACACAGTGTACAAACATTCTCCATGCAACACTCATGCTTGATGATATATAGTCTGAAGAAAGTCATATCTGAATTTTCCCTTGCTTCTGTGTCCCTGTACCATTAGTACAGAACACTAATCCATCTCCTTCAGTGACATATAATGTAGACCCTATAGATTATCTAATCTTATTGAAGCCATTCTCTGCTGGCTTCAGCTGGAGAAACTCCACTCACTTCAGAGCCTGACTATGCTAGAGAGGGGGCCTGGCTCAGTGTCATGTTCTTGAATAATTTGCAAAAGTTTGCTTATGTAACTTGATTATTTTCCTTATCACAATGCAGTGAGTGAGAGATCAGGTTCCACAAGCCAGTAGCAGCTCCCAAAGTTTCACACTTAGGTCACTGCAATTCCGGCTGTCCAACAGTGTCAGCTGCTAAGGAGACACAAATGCTTCAGCAATATCTGTTTTTTGTTTTTACCTGCATGGTGGATGACAGTCAGATTTATCAAAATCTGGAACTTTTTCAACTCGGCTGAATTACAATAAAGTGTCTTTAAAATCTCGGTAAACACATCAAGGCTAAGTGGAAAAATCCATTGATTTTAGAAATGAAATGTGGTCAGAGACCTAAGATTAATAAAAGTGCCTTATGATTGCTGATGCTGCTGGGCCAAGCAGAATAAGCAGATAGGTGCCTGACGTACATGAAGGCAGTTTACAAGTTATTCAAACATCTATTAGTGATGGGCTCCCAACACTGGCAGCCCCAAAAAAGAAAGGGACTTTGTATCCTGATCCTTTACAAGAGAGTTAACAGAAAAACACACCCAAGCAAAAAATTACTTCAGACAGACACACTTTTTTCAGGCTCCCAGTCCAGGTCTCTTTTCACAGCTAGACAGTTGAGTTGAGACTGCAAACACAATTAGTGTGATTAGTGCACAAGGCTTTCAGTCTACCTGTTTACACTTCTCTTCCAAGTTTCCTTCACCAGGCCCTGAGGAGGCTGTAGTTGTCCTAGCTGGCAAATCCTCACCCACCCAACTATGCATCGTCTGGGTTTGACAAACAGGAAAGTTGGTATTATTCAAAGAAAACACAGATTTCAAACCAATCACCCAAACAATACACATGCTATCTTTCTGCTGAAGAATTCTGATCAATTTCTTGCTTAATTTCAAGCAACGGAAGCTAATTTAAAAAGCATTATTTGATGTCATCAGAAGAGCACTCCTTTCGGCAGAGGGCAGCTGAAATTAAATTCAAAATTAAATTTGGCCACAGTTCCAAGGCTTATACATTATCCCTTAGTTCTTCTACAAGGCATGGCTTGGGCAACCTCCTGGTGGCCTCCACACCCACTTGAAAACCTCTGCTGAGGTGCAGAGCCCAGGCAGTGCTGAACTGAGATGGCACTTGGCATATGGCCAGCCTGGAATGGGGGAATAGATGCATCTCCCTGCACCTGCCCTCACAGATATGTCTAAGTTCAGAGGAAGTCACAGTTAAAAACTTGCAAACTCTTGTCTTCAGTCTGGACATCAGTCTGATGGACCAACACTGCCTATAAATGCCTTTATCATGTCTGGGGAAGACACGATATCATGATCAGTCTGGGGAAGAGCCTCATTTGACAAACACAATCGTATTCTGAATGCATCACACACTTCACTATCCAGTCTAAGAAAAATGTGGTTTTTAATAACTTAAGGCAGAATGGAGCAGAGAAGCTCTCTCTCATGTCACTTTGAATTATACTAAACTGCAGATTAAA